GATTGACTTTCTGGCCTTAGTGAACCTCTTTTGGTCTTAAGTTCATACTTGATGATGTCAGCATCCCTACGGCTCTGTAATTAACATTGACACTATCAATATACTTCTCACTTTGAGCACAAAATGAGAAATGTCCCCTCACCCACTATATCTTCTTATCCAATTCCATGTTTAGGTGCCTTATGCTGTATTCAGCAGAACTCTCAAAGTTTCTGGTGTAAAGGATGACACAAATATATAGAAATAAAGATAAGAGACAGAAAGCTCAGGTCAAGTGAAAGCCTCTCTCCAGTTGGGATGAAAGGAACTTCTCAATCACAATAGTATATTAGTTTATGCTACCAGGAGGTTGATGACAATTTTACTCCCTATGACTAGCACCTTTTTTTTGACAGCCTGAGAATCATGCATTATCAGAAGGGGCAAAACTTGTTTTTGTGGCTTGCATCAGGAACTCTTGTTCTTGGTGCAGCTTTACGTTGCCCGGCACGTGTTGTCAGTTTCCAGCTTGAGGTGTTCCCTGCAATCTCCTTTTATGGTTTGTGTGCAGCTGTTTCCTCAAAGTCTCATGTAGACACTGGGACAGGTTTCTAGAATCTGTGATTAATTCATGATCCAAGACTGGCATTATGGGTAATAAGGGTTTGAGTGCTTCACCCAATCTGAGGCCAAAATTCTGGATGCAGTATAAAAAAGTGAGAGAGGTTTGCTTTCTCCCTGATGCTGCTTTCACAGCCACTGCTCCTCCAATTTTTCTCTTGATGTTTTGCTGTCTTTTGTCACCATGAACTGCTGCCCTCTGCCATGTGCCACTCTGCCTAGAAGCCACCTGAGTAGGGACTGAAATCTCCACAAACGTCATGCTAAATAAACCTTTTCTTCCTAAATTTTGGGTGTCATGAATGTTGTCCCAGCAATTAAAGAAAAGTAAACAGATATTCTACTTTCAATAAGGAATAAATTCTTACTGTTACTTTGGATCTTTGTTGTCCTTATTCAATTTTAGGAAATAAGTGCATTTATGTATGGTTTCTATCTCCCCCTGAATAGCCAGCCTCTAGACACTGTTTAGCAGTCTGGTAAGGAAGTACTTAGAGATCAAAGTCAATGGTTTCTGTGGCACGCTCATGAAAAAATTTAGATTCTAGCTATAGCATCAAAGTTCTCTACAAAATAGTTTAAAAGAAATTAAATTTGCAAAAAAAATGACTACCAATATTCACAGTGGAAAGGAGCAAGACACTTAACAGCAATCGGCAATGGTTTATATATTCATTTCAGTTTGAAGGTATTCTGAATCAAAGGACTTTTATTAAAGTAATTTTTGGATTTGCACAATTATGAGGTATATTATTTGCATACATCCACAAAATTCATATCCACTCTGTTTGGTGTTTGCTCGCATCTGTCATCTGTCCTTACATAGTATCCAAATCTATTGACATTGATATTACTCATTGAACCCAAGGTACTTTATTGGCATGAATAATCAGAGTCATTTAAAAACTCAGCATGGGGCTGGTGAGATGGCTCAGTGGTCTAAAGCACCTACTTAGAACAAGCTTCGCAATGCACAGGGACCGCGGTTCAATCCCCCAGCACCACATGCCAGCCAGCCCCGCCCCCTGGTGGGCTGAGCTGGTTCCACAGACACACACACACACACACACACACACACAAATAAAAATTAAAACAAAACAAAACAAAATAAAAAAAATAAAAATAAAAACTCAGCATGTGGGTCCACCAAAAAGAGACAGGAATCACCTAAAAAGTACTATTTAATTCCATGTCTCCCCATCATTTCTTCATTACACTCACATTCAACATATTTCCTTGAACAACAAACAGTAAACACTTTCATCAATGAATCCGAGTTACAAATAAATGCATTTAATTTGCTTCAAGAATCACTCTAATCAGATGGACTAGAAAAATACAGTGCATATCAGAAAAGGGACACACTGCTCTGTCCACCCTCATTATTTGCATGAGTGCCCTACATCCAACCAGCTGAAATCCCTATTGGTCTTTGTGTGTGTGTGTGTGTTTATCTTTTATTCATACAAACAATACATACACAAGACTGTATAGTGTTTAAAGACTGAAATAATTTTCTAGTGTAACAACTCTGTAACAAAATTTAACTAAATGTAACATTTATGAAAATATAAATCTCTGATTGGGTAATTCTTCCCAACAATACAAAGTTTACATAAAAACATTCAATATGAGCTATCAGTTGCAAACAAGTTAGGAAAAAATCATTCAAGTCACTTGTTATACTCTATTGGCTTTTACATAGAACATCCACACACTACAGGTAATCCATCTAGGAATTTAATTCTTAGAAATGTATGACATGGAGGTCCAACTGATAATGACAGGAGGAAAAATGCATTGCCTAAAGAGCTAAGAAGAACTGACTCATACGATCTACTCCAGGTGACTGGTACATAGGTCTAAGCACTCTCTGGGCGACTACCTCCCTGGCTACTAGCTAAATCAGGGAAACATACTGAGAAAAGTCTTTCGCTATGGAGGGGGAGGGGTGCTTCTATATGAATCACATCTTTGAATACTTACATGTTGAACTGCTTTCTGAGATGAAGTACAATTGAATTGGGTTCTCTCTATGTTCTACCATTTTTCCCCCTGTTAACATTAAGAATCAAAATGTCCCTATGTGTTTTTCTCACATTACTCCCAAATATCCCCAACAGGGCAACAGCAGAACCTATCACTACCTTTATTTTGTAGTTCACAAACATAATACACCAGTAAAGTTAAAGATCTGGCTAGGGACATATAAGTTCATGGCAAAATTGGACAAAAATGTTCTTTGTTCATTATTCTTATTAAAGTGACTGCCACTTTCAAAGAAAACCAAACCAAACCACAACTGCCAGCCCCTATGAAAAGTTATCCGAAGACATGCCATGTGGAAAATAGTAAAGGAAAAAAATCACTTTCACTTTCTTTGTAGCATTTTCTTTTGAATAGATGATGTAGGTTTTAAAAAATACTTGATATCATTTTACAGCCTCAGCTTTGAAATAGATAAGACTATAAAAGTCTCAGCAGAGTCCACAGCCTGGAAGTATAACAGATAAAGAAGCATACATACAGTGTATAGAAGTAAGAAAGTGATTACAAAGAGGGACGATAAAGAACCTTTGGACACCCTTAAGATTGATGGAATATTTTAGCACAAAGACAGGCATATTCAGAGTATTTGTCCCAGAGTATTTGGTTATCTATCTGTGTTTTATACAGGAAAGAAGAGGAATGAGAGTAAGGCAAATGTCATCAGTATTTCTGAGATGGCATGTTCAGAAAGCTTGCTTTCTATTAAGAGATACTGCAGGATTTAGGAAATAATTTATGCTCCCATACAGTTGGCTGAATGGTACAGAATTTTTTAATTAGTACAATGATAGAAATGACCGGTTGTTTTGATCAACGTTGTAATGCCCATTCTGTACTTCTTTACACTCAGCACAAGTATGCATTATGAAAAAGATGTGGAAAAAATTGTGGTTTCTTATGAAACGTGTTCTTTTGCAGCCCCAGAAATAAATAAAGATTCCTATATTCCACTATACAGAAACCTGGCATGCACTTGTTGCAACTATACTTTAATGAGGACTGACTCCCCTTGTCCCGTAGCCCTAGGATAGCCACGGTTAGTCTTTGTCTCAGTCCAGTTTATGGTGTCACATTTCACGTTGTGTCTCTTGGGGACCTGGGAAGATATATGGGCACTTTTGTTACATGATTTTACACCGTTAGACCTTTCCTCTGCAGACTAGGTTTACACAGTTGTCAGGATCAGAAAATGTAAAGAGAGATTAAGGCTGTGTTTCCTTTATCACACAATCCTTTGGAATCCAACAGCCCTATCGTTTCTGTGATTTTAACTGTTTTTTGTAGAACTAATGCCGGTCCATACAGTTCACATGTAACTGTAGCCTGTCTCCTCTGAACCAGGAAAATCAACCGTACTGCTTCTTACCACACAGCTGAGTTTTAAAACTATTTTTTGTTTGTTTTTATTATTTTATTTTTATTTTTCAACAAATAATACACTGCATATATTCTTCTTAGTGGTTAATTACTGCACAAGATGCGGACTTGTGATCCTATTTACAAGCACCATTAGAACAGATCATTCTATTCATTAACAGAATGTAACTATATATCTATCCCAACCACTTTGAATACACAGATAAAAAATGGACATTCATCTGTATACCCCATTTTTTCTAAGTTCCGTTATTGAATATTACAGGTGTGTAAACTCAGCAAAATATTCTAAAAGAGTCCAGTAACCCATAATAGCATTGGGTCTTCTGTTTAACTGGCAATGTCAGAAATTATTGACCTGAGTCCCCCACAGCTCAACTTAACAGCATGGCTTTATTTCTTATATTTCGACTTCATACTTTTCTGCTGGATGGTTAAGACCAAGGTAAAGGAGGACCTGTGCAACAAGAGTTGTAGATTTTTGGTCTGAGAAGGTCAGTGAAATGCCCTCAGGATTTGTCCTGAGATCCTGTACCTCAGATTGTAGAACCTTTATCAGTGCAGCCATGTGGATGAGTCACGGCCATTGCTTGGCCAATGTGCTCTCTGTGAAAGCCTGAGAGAGTGTCTTCTCCCCATGTGACTCTCCTTAGGCCCACTCTATGTCATCGATCACTTTCCTCTTTGGCCCCATAATCTTCTTGATCAGAAAATTTGGGACACTACTGAGGTACATGACGTTACAGTACAAGTTCTCATATGTCCTGAGTTTTAATTGACCTTAGAAGGCTAGGGCCAAAATGTTGGCTTTCCTTGTATCCCTCTTTTTTCTCTAATTTTGGTCTGCAAACTTAGGTTGTTAACCATCCAGAACCTATTGGTCTTTTTAAGAAAGATGTGTCGTCTCTTCTTGTACTTCTGTATTCCCTCTCGGGACTACACAGAGCAAAAACAGATAAAGACGAAATACACAATTACATATTTCTTTTAAGGAAAGAAATTTTTGTGTTTCTTATCCAGACAAACAAGAATATGGATAGAGAGGAATCCTGGCTCATGACCAGAAAGGGACTGACAGTTGGAAAACACAGAGAAATGAGGCCAGAAATATTCACAAACCACCAACTGAGATTATAAAAGAGGGCAATGAAAATGTGAAAGATGCAGGAGATCATGTAAAATGACACAAAATTGCTCACCAGGAGAAGGATGCTTTTGGTGGCTCTTGACTCAGCAGATCTGGAGGAAACATTAGAGCTATGAATGTGTTTAACCTGTTGTTTATGTCTGTAGAGGACAAATATCAGAGAACCATTGGACCATATTGTGAAAAAAATGAAACAAACCTCAGGGGCTACTACTAAAGCAATATAGACTGAGACAATGGTTGTCCCAAAATCTACAACAGTGCAGTATCCCAGGTGTCTTTTCCTAGGGATATTTCTGCTTTCTGAATTTCCAGCCAACTGTAACAAATACAAAGGAAAAAAGAGATTTACTCCCACGTGCAGCAGCCAGCAGAGAGACGTGGAGAAGCCAATGTACTCTGGAGCTTTTCTTTTAAGGTTCTTCCAACAAGAGTTCATGGGGCTGATTATGATAGTCTGGAAGACACTCAAAAGGCACGTGACACAAATTGACATAGCCCTGCCCACTCTGAAGACATACAAGTTAAGATTGCAACTATATTCATTGAATAAATGTTTCAACCCAAAGGCTACCATTGTCTGAGAGGGTCCCTTTGAAAGCAGGACTAAAGAATTAGCTATAAACAGGTGCTTGAGTATCAAATCTATGGACTTCAATTTTCTTTCTGTATGCTGAAGGAAAAAATAATAGTAAAGTAGAGAAAAATTCCCCATAACTCCAACCACAGTTTGTAACAAATATATTGTTCCTATCACTAAGTCTTTTGAAGTTATGTTTTCATTTTCTTCTAAAATTTCTTTTAAAGTATAGTGACAATTATTACTTTGAGCAAGTCTCATTGTAGAGATCTGACACCAAACATCAATTTGATGTGGTGCTCCTGTGGTATTGGAAAGATTTCAAAAAGTAAGAGATGGAAAGAATATTCTGCACATTTCATGGGGTAAGCCTTCAGAAAGCAGGAGTCGATCATCTGGAGGAATAAAAGACAATATGGAAGGAATTACATTCTGAACTTTATAGTAATGCCTAATTTTTTTTTCTTTCACTAGTAAAAAACTAAATTATTATAAAAATTATATAGACCATAAATTAATTGTGAATGGATTTCTGATGTAGATATTTAAGATAAATATAAACATTTTAATGAAAATAGCATGTGTAATCTACAGACATGAAATTATTTCATACAAAAACATTAAACATATAGATGAAATGACAAATTAGATTACGCTAAAATTAAGAACTATTTTCATCAAAATACAAACATTTACTATGGGTAGATGACAGAGAAAAAATAATAAGGAAATAAAACAATGACAGAAAAGACCAATAAAAAACACCTGTACTCATCTGTAAAAATTCTTATGACAAATAAAAAATGGAAATATATTTCATCTTAAATTTGAAAAAATGTTTTATTTAGCTATTAATAAGTATGCTGAAATTATTACATGTCATCATTAACCAGAAAAATTCAAGTAAGATCACCAGGTGCTACCATTATATGCCATCCAGAATGCTGAACTGAATGACAGGAAAGAACAAAGAAAGTTTACAGACAAAAAATTAGAGAGATAGATGGGCTAAAAGGATACCAAATATTTTGGCCCTAGCCATTCAAGGTCAGTGAGGACTCAGGACATAGAAGAACCTCTGTTGTGACATCCGATAGCTCAATTGTGTCAAAAATTTCTGCTCAAGGAGATTATGGAACTGCAGAGGAAAATGATCAGTGATGTAGAGTGTGCCAAAGGAGAGTCACCTACAGAGAAAACATTCTCTCAGGCTTTCACAGAGAGCAAATTGGTCAAGCAATGGTCGTGACTCATCCAGATGGCTGACACTGACAAAAGATCCACAAGGTGCAATACATGGTTCCAGGGTAAATCTTGAGGGGGTTTGACTGACCTTGTCAGATAACAAAAGTTTACACTTTTAGCTGTATAGGTCTTGTTTCAACTTGATTTAATCATCCAGCAGAAAAGTGTAAATATGAGGTATAAAAAATAATTCTGGGCTGTAAAAGGCTCAAGTCAACAATTGAAGTATATTGGGTTATTTTGTTGAACTCAAGTACCTACAATCTTTGGACTGGCTTCAAGTACGAAAAGGCCCTTTAATCACTTCTCCCAATATAGCCTCTCTAACTGCAATGGAGCGGTCATCTCTGACAAAACAAAACAAAAAAGGGTGATATGTTAGGAGTTGCAGAAGCTAGGAAATTAAACAAATGAGTGTAGGTAGGACTAGGCCTCAGTGCCTAAGGCAAACAAGCTACCTCAGTCCTGATATAAACATCCTGTCTGGTTAAGGTCAGCTATTAGTCAATAAGTAGCCTTGTGTCATGTTTTACTAATTTTGCAAAAGTATAAAGGACTATATTGTGCAAAAATAATACATATAATATAATTATGTTATATATAATATAATATAGTTACAAGATAGTTAGGATGGATATACAGCTACTTTCTCTTAGTTCATTGAGAAGAAAGGTTTGTCCTAATATTGTTTAGACATAAGATATCATATTGACACGTTGTCTTATGAAGTCAACAATATGCAATGTATTAATTATTATAATTGTCCTACTAACCTGTTTTGAAACTCTTTCGTTATTTCATATTTTTTCTTATTAAAATGATTTTTTTTAAAAAAGAATACGGCTAAACCATGAACTCCTTTGTATAAAATAGGTGCAAGTATTTGAGGAAGTTGTTCAGTAGTATCTGTATAAGTTAATAATATGTCACTTAAGCTGCAATAATTTCGTTTCTATTAATTTTGTCAAATATAAATCATAAATGCGTCACTGAGACAGGGATTCGTTTGATACCAGGAATTGAACTTGGGACCTCTTGGTTTGCCAGGCAGGTGCTACACACTGTGCCATATCCCTGGCTTCTATTTTTTTTTCAGAACCGAGATTGAATTCAGGCCCTTGTGCTTGCCAGGGAAACACTTATTCTACTGAGCTATCTCCCTTGACCCTGCATCACTGAGACATGTCTTACATATTCCATATAGTAGCACTAAGACTAACTCACAATACCTTCAACCTCAGAAACATCCACAGGCCCATTAACTGTTTAATAGCACAGCTAATTGATGTTAATGCCACGGAATGAAATTTAGCCTTTCCAATGAATAACAAGAATAATATTCAATAATTAAGAAGTGTCTAAATCGCTCATGAATAACATATGAATAACAACATAAACATCTTTGTTGAGGTCATTTGCATATGGTATTAAGCAGACATTAATGATATAATATCACTGATCTGAGAGATGATGTAAGCCTATATTATATTGTTCCCTTCAAATGTATGCAAGAAACCTATAACCCCTTAGGCAGTTATGGAGAGGAAACAGTTGGGAAATTTGGCAAATTATCATATTACATGTTTTTCTTTATGAATCCATTACAAATGGATACCATCCATTACAAACTGGGTACCATTTGTGAAATTCTACTGAGCTGTGTACTCAGAAACAGAGATGGCCTTTCCAACCTTTGCACATTCATGTAGTAATAGAAGTTATAATATTTATTTGAAGAATTATTAGAATTAAGAATAATTGTTGCCTGCAACATGTTTTTTGTACAGTACAAAACTCACATGTGTGGTAACAAGCATAAGGAATGAAGCTGAACAAGACACTTTCCAGAAGAATGACAATGAGGCACAACTCTTGTGGTGTTGGTGTTGGTGTTGCTGTTGATTTGGTTATGGCTTTTTATGATGTGCATCTTGACCGATTTTGTCAGGGGATCCAGCAGAATCATACTCTGAATCTTTTTCAATTTGAGATATTTATGCTGCTTCGTTTGGAAATCATAAGCATAACCAAAAGTGATGATAGGGGCTGGGGAGATAACTCAGTAGAAAAAGCGCTTGCCTGACAAGCACAAGGGTCTGAGTTTAATCCTCAGTTCTGCCAAAAAAGAAAAAAATGATGATAATAGAATCTGAGGAAGTAAGCAGAGGGAAGAAATAGTAAGTAAATTTGATCAAGGTGTGATATGTGTACATACTCATTCCCCAAGTTGAAACTAATTGTTATGTATCAACAACACACACCACCTATAAAATAAAAATAATACAAGGCACATTAAATAAAAGTTACAGAGTACATTAAAGTGCACAATACAACAATATGCAATGTATTAATTATTGTAACTATCCTAGTAACCTGTTTTGGTTACTCTCATTGCTATTTCTTTCTCAATAAAATTGATTAAAAAGAAATAAAATGCATAAGCATTTGTAATTGGGGAAAATTTATACTGAGTTTGATGTTTCTAGAGTTCATCTAGGGATGATTACAAGGTCTACAGAAACTCAAAACAAGGTCTATTCCAGTGCACATACTGTAAAATCTTTGAGAATAAATGAGACGTTAGAGCTTCCAAACCTTTGTGAGCTCACAAAGTCTGCAGGTTCCCAGTTGCTGAGTAGAGCGACGCATCTTGGAGACACTTTCACACAGAATGAGTGAGACGATATAATAGTCAGTGCTCTTCAGAGCTACGTAAATGAAAACCCTCCAAAAAGAAACTCCCTGAATTCAAACCACTGTGAAATGAGTACACCATCCCTAGTACAGATGCTTGCAGGCCAGTCTGCTGAATCTTCTAACCGATTATGATCTTTGAACCACAGTGTCCTACCTACCAATGAACACACAGTGCTTATGTTGTACTAGTACTATATCAAATATGGCCATAACACCCTACATAAGATACTGTAATTAACACTTCTAATGGTCTGATACATTGACTCACATAATTTTCCTGAAAAGTAAAGAACACTCAGATACAGAAAGGTTAAGGAATTATTTTTAAGTTAGTGATACATTGGAAACCTGTATATGAGGTTTACCAGTTGAATAGTCAGTATACTAACTTCTGTGCCATAGGACACCTACAATTTTTTTTCGGAACTGGGGATTGAACTCAGGCCCTTGCGCTTGCCAGGGAAGCACTTATTCCACTGAGCCATCTCCCCAGCCCCGATTTGGTTTTTTTGCTGGTTTTTTTTTGACACATATAATTTTCAAATTATCTGGGTCTGTAATTTGTTTTTATATAATGTCCTTTCATTTCATTTGTTAACATTTTAAACTAATTTTAATATCACGACTTTTCATTTTTGTAAAAATGCTACTGTATAGTTCAAAATCAAACATTAATAAAGCAATTAAGAATGTCATAAATATACATGTGGTATTATCCTGTAATCCTAAAGAAATCACCTACAAATCAAGCTGGATTTATTGTTTCTTAGGGTTGTTTGGGGTGAGTTTTTTTTGGTTTTATTTTTTTTTTATTTTAAGGAAGGGTCTACAGTGTGTTCAGAGTCCCTCTACTAGATCGGACTCATAGTGATCTGCCTGTTTATGCAGCCTCCCAATAGCTGGGATTACAGGCACGTGTCAACACACCCAGTGTAGGATTTATTGTTGAAAATTAGCTAAACATTATTTTATTTGTAGAAATATTCATTTGTTGCCATCAGAGAAAGCAAAAGAAAGCATCTCTTAAGGAAATTACTAAGCAATATTACTGTACTTCTGAACTATGATACATAAAATACTAATAATATGTATTAGAATACAATACGATAGAAATACTTCATTGCTGATTTCTGTGTAAAGCATGTGTTAAGTGAAATTATTAGCAAGGCACAAAGATTCATGAAATGCATGAAAATGTAAAAGAGATAAATGGCCAGGGAGATAGCTCAGTAGAATAAGAGCTTGCCTGATAAGCACAGGGTCCTGAGTTCAATCCCCAGTACCCCCCCAAAAAAAGACAGATAAATGAAATATGGAAA